TGATAAAGGCATTTCAGGTCTAGTAGTAATATAATTATAAGGTTAGTGAGCCGTGGGCTCTCTCCTTCTCCTAGTATGGGCTCTAAGCCACTAAAATAATAATTCCTTAATGGGCCACATTTTTGTACCGTTTGACCGTCTCCAGCCCACACTGTACATAATGGTAGAAATCTTTATGGCCCAAAATCTATATTAAATTTACTCCTCTTTTAAGCAATGGCAGCTATAGGTCAATGTGCAGTCACAAAATACAACCCACAAAATGAACTTGACAGGCTACTAGCTAAAATTTTGGCCCAGCTATAAAAAGGATATAATTACTTGTACATATACACTTAGGTACATGTAGGTGTATGTGTGTGTGTGCATGGTTTAATTAATGTATTACTTGGATCATTTGTTTCTCTTTTTCTTTTTGTTTCTCAGTCTTCATGTGTTGTATCCAGTCACTGGCTTGTCTTGTTAATGACAATTGCATCTCTTTATGCTACATCAATGATCAATGATAGATACATGTACATGGATACCATGATAAGCTACATTAAATGTACATGTACCAAAGAGAGAGAGGATGTCACAAGGGCCACAATACACAATGTACTATATATATTATAATTAAGATCATATCAAAACACAACATGAAGAGCAAGTATGTGGACATGTGATGAATCATTAATCAATGCATACATGAGAAGGCATTAACCAAACACAGTAAAAGGTCCATTGGACATACACTCTCCTCATATACACATGTACAGCTTATGATAACATAAACATCTACATGCATGTCCACTAAAATAAGAATAAACTCTTAAAATTCCTGTATAAGCTGATAATTATATCAACAGTGAAGCTCAATGTCAATATATTAAAGTATTTTATGTAGGTGTACATGTACAGTTACAGTTAAAATCTTAAAGTACATGTACGTGTACTTCACTCAGTAATATACCATTACCTGTTGTTCTGCTTTGTCTAGTCTCTTCATAAGATCAGCTCTATCATGAAGATTAGTCAATACCTGATTCTATTAATAATAATGAGAATACCTAATACTGTATTCTATTAATAATAATAATAATAATGGCTATACATACACTATATTAATACACTGTATATTCTTACTCTCATGTGGTGGGCGTTACAGTCAGCTATTCTAGCGTGTCTCATCAACTCATCATTCTCTGCTCTCAGTTTCTGTACCGTCGCCTTTAAATGAGCATTCTCTACCAGCACCGCCTGTAAATACATACAGCAAATAAAGGCAGGCAATGTACATGTACATGTACATGGGATTTTCAACGGTTAAAACATTGTTATCTGCTGACGAGAGCTCTTTAAAATTCAATTTAAAGCAATTAATTTTATTTAAGCTTCCAGCTTTAATACTACATGTATATGTGTATGTGTACATGTACATGCTTTTTCTGATATTGTAAAGAAATACATTGTACATTGTACATTGTACATTGGGTATTGTTGTATAGTGCAATGAAGTTATGAGTACATGTACATGTACACTATTACTTATTTATATTTATTTATCATTATTTATTATTTAATTTTTACCTCATTCTTCCTAATCAAGTCCTGTATTCTCATATTGGAGTGTGGTTTCTTCCCTACTGTCTGTATTGCTTCTGACAGTGTCTCAATGTAAGCCTTTTGAGCTCCGTGAGATAATCCAGTGACATGATCTCCTCCTCTTAGGCTCTGTCTCTCATCCAATGCATGCTACAATGAATAATGGTAACAATAATAAATAATAATACTAATAATACTAATAATAATAATAATAATAATAATAATAATAAATTAGTTTTAATTGGTATTGAATAGCATTGAGGGAATCAAATTGATGGGCAACTGCTTACAGTTAATGCTAATTGGTTCCTTTAATTTTCATAATCACATCTAACTGGAATTAGCCCCCAAATTTCAACTTGTTCTTACATGTACATGTACATGCTAATCCACTTGATATCTGCCCTCAGCTTCACCTCAGGCAGATATCTCAGTCCTCAGGTATTACATTACTTATACACACACACACACACACACACACACACACACACACACACACACACACACACACACACACACACACACACACACACACACACACACACACACACACACACACTCACGCACACACACACACACACACACACACTCACACACACACACACACACACACTCCTCAAACCCATTGTTTATGTACATGTATCAATATCTAACTTGTAATGCTTTTTGTTTTCTCTTTTCCACTGACAGTATTTCTTGGAATCTCTTAGCATTGTCTTGTGCTTTTGATAGCTCAGAATTCATAAAAGACAACTGTTTATTAGCTATTGAAAGGAATAAATAAATGAATAAATTAACAAATAAATAAATAAATAAATAAATAAATGTTAATAATAATAATACGTACAAGAATAGAGATCAAAAAATAACTACAATTGTTAATTCTCTTCTATCCATTGCTATTATCATTTTTGTCCTCCCCAAAGGTACAAGATACAATGTACTACTGGTATTATTATTACCTTCAATTGTTCTCTTTTCAAATTGTTTAACTGCTTTAGATGAAGCAGTACGGAGTTGCTCCACCTCTTGTGACAGTCTCTTGTTCTTCAGTTCAAGTGCTCCATAATCCTCCACCTTCTGATGGAGACTCACTTCAGTTCTTAGCAATGCTGTCTCTAACTCTACATTCTTTAATGCCT